GCCTGTTGGTCCAATGCACTGGTTGGACCAACAGGCTTGTTGGTCCAATGGACCGGTTGGACCCAATGGACTGGCTGGACCGACTGGCCTGTTGGTTCAATGGACCGGTTGGACCGACTGACCTGTTGGGCCAATGGACCGGTTGGACAGACAGTCGTGTTGGACCAATGGTCCGGTTGGATTGACTGGAGTGTTGGACCAATGGACCGGTTGGACCGATTGGCCTGTTTGGTCAATGGACCGGTTGGACCAACTGGCCTGTTGGGCCAATGGACTGGCTGGACCGACTGGCCTCTCGGTCCAATGGACCAGTTGGACCCTGTAGCCTGTTGGTCCATTCTACCGGTTGGACCGACTGGCCTGTTGGTCCTATGGACCGGTTGGACAGACTGGCTTGGTCCAACGTACCGCTTGGACCCAATGGCCTATTGGTCCAATGAACCAGCTTGTCCGACTGGCATGTTGGTCCAATGGACCGGCTGGACGACCTTGTTGTTAGTCCAATGGACCGGTTAGACCGATCGGCCTGTTGGTCTAATGGACCGATTGTACCAACTTGCTGTTGGTTCAATGGACCGGTTGGACCAACAGGACTTTTGGTCGAATGGACCGGTTGGACCCAATGGACCGGCTGGACAGACTGACCTGTTGGGCCAATGGACCGGTTGGACTGACTGGCGTGTTGGACCAATGGTTCGGTTGGAACGACTAGCGTGTTGGACTACTGGACTGGTTGGACCGACTGGCCTGTTTGGCCAATGGACTGATTGGACCAACTGGCCTGTTAGGGGAATGGACTGGTTAGACCGACTGACCTGTTGGTCCAATGGACCAGTTGGACCCAGTAGCCTGTTGGTCCAATGGACCGGTTGGACCGACTAGCCTTTTTGGCCAATGGATCGGTTGGACCGACTTGCCTGTTGGGCCAATGGACCTGTTGGACCGACTGGCCTATTGGGCCAATGGACCGGTTGGAGCGACTGGCCTCTTGGGCCAATGGACCGGTTGGACCGACTGGCCTGTTGGGCCAATTGACCGGTTGGACCGACTGGCCTGTTTGTCCAATGAACCGGTTGGACCGACTGGCCTGTTGGTCCAATGGACCAGTTGGACCGACTGGCCTGTTGGGCCAATGGACCGGTTGGAACCAATGTCCTGTTGGTCCAATGGACCGGTTGGAATGAGTGGCCTGTTGGTCCAATGGTCCAGTAGGACCCACTGTTCTAAGGTCCGATGGACCGGTTGGACCGACATGCCTGTTGGTCCAATCGAACGGTTGGATCGACTGACTTGTTGGGCCAATGGACCGGTTGGACCGACTGACCTGTTGGGCCAATGGACCGGTTGGACTGACTGGCGTGTTGGACCAATGGTTCGGTTGGAACGACTAGCGTGTTGGACTACTGGACTGGTTGGACCGACTGGCCTGTTTGGCCAATGGACCGGTTGGACCAACTGGCCTGTTAGGGGAATGGACAGGTTAGACCGATTGACCTGTTGGTCCAATGGACCAGTTGGACCCAGTAGCCTGTAGGTCCAATGGACCGGTTGGACCGACTAGCCTTTTGGGCCAATGGATCGGTTGGACCGACTTGCTTGTTGGGCCAATGGACCTGTTCGACCGACTCGCCTATTGGGCCAATGGACCGGTTGGAGCGACTGGCCTCTTGGGCCAATGGACCGGTTGGACCGACTGGCCTGTTGGGCCAATTGACCGGTTGGACCGACTGGCCTGTTTGTCCAATGAACCGGTTGGACCGACTGGCCTGTTGGTCCAATGGACCAGTTGGACCGACTGGCCTGTTGGGCCAGTGGACCGGTTGGAACCAATGTCCTGTTGGTCCAATGGACCGGTTGGAATGAGTGGCCTGTTGGTCCAATGGTCCAGTAGGACCCACTGTTCTAAGGTCCGATGGACCGGTTGGACCGACATGCCTGTTGGTCCAATCGAACGGCTGGATCGACTGACCTGTTGGGCCAATGGACCGGTTGGACCGACTGACCTGTTGGGCCAATGGACCGGTTGGACTGACTGGCGTGTTGGACCAATGGTTCGGTTGGAACGACTAGCGTGTTGGACTACTGGACTGGTTGGACCGACTGGACTGTTTGGCCAATGGACCGGTTGGACCAACTGGCTTGTTAGGGGAATGGACTGGTTAGACCGACTGACCTCTTGGTCCAATGGACCTGTTGGACCCAGTAGCCTGCTGGTCCAATGGACCGGTTGGACGGACTAGCCTTTTGGGCCAATGGATCGGTTGGACCGACTTGCCTGTTGGGCCAATGGACCTGTTGGACCGACTGGCCTATTGGGCCAATGGACCGGTTGGAGCGACTGGCCTCTTGGGCCAATGGACGGGTTGGACCGACTAGCCTGTTGGGCCAATTGACCGGTTGGACCGACTGGCCTGTTGGTCCAATGGACCAGTTGGACCGACTGGCCTGTTGGGCCAATGGACCGGTTGGAACCAATGTCCTGTTGGTCCAATGGACCGGTTGGAATGAGTGGCCTGTTGGTCCAATGGTCCAGTAGGACCCACTGTTCTAAGGTCCGATGGACCGGTTGGACCGACATGCCTGTTGGTCCAATCGAACGGTTGGATCGACTGACTTGTTGGGCCAATGGACCGGTTGGACCGACTGACCTGTTGGGCCAATGGACCGGTTGGACTGACTGGCGTGTTGGACCAATGGTTCGGTTGGAACGACTAGCGTGTTGGACTACTGGACTGGTTGGACCGACTGGCCTGTTTGGCCAATGGACCGGTTGGACCAACTGGCCTGTTAGGGGAATGGACAGGTTAGACCGATTGACCTGTTGGTCCAATGGACCAGTTGGACCCAGTAGCCTGTAGGTCCAATGGACCGGTTGGACCGACTAGCCTTTTGGGCCAATGGATCGGTTGGACCGACTTGCTTGTTGGGCCAATGGACCTGTTCGACCGACTCGCCTATTGGGCCAATGGACCGGTTGGAGCGACTGGCCTCTTGGGCCAATGGACCGGTTGGACCGACTGGCCTGTTGGGCCAATTGACCGGTTGGACCGACTGGCCTGTTTGTCCAATGAACCGGTTGGACCGACTGGCCTGTTGGTCCAATGGACCAGTTGGACCGACTGGCCTGTTGGGCCAGTGGACCGGTTGGAACCAATGTCCTGTTGGTCCAATGGACCGGTTGGAATGAGTGGCCTGTTGGTCCAATGGTCCAGTAGGACCCACTGTTCTAAGGTCCGATGGACCGGTTGGACCGACATGCCTGTTGGTCCAATCGAACGGTTGGATCGACTGACCTGTTGGGCCAATGGACCGGTTGGACCGACTGACCTGTTGGGCCAATGGACCGGTTGGACTGACTGGCGTGTTGGACCAATGGTTCGGTTGGAACGACTAGCGTGTTGGACTACTGGACTGGTTGGACCGACTGGACTGTTTGGCCAATGGACCGGTTGGACCAACTGGCTTGTTAGGGGAATGGACTGGTTAGACCGACTGACCTCTTGGTCCAATGGACCTGTTGGACCCAGTAGCCTGCTGGTCCAATGGACCGGTTGGACGGACTAGCCTTTTGGGCCAATGGATCGGTTGGACCGACTTGCCTGTTGGGCCAATGGACCTGTTGGACCGACTGGCCTATTGGGCCAATGGACCGGTTGGAGCGACTGGCCTCTTGGGCCAATGGACGGGTTGGACCGACTAGCCTGTTGGGCCAATTGACCGGTTGGACCGACTGGCCTGTTGGTCCAATGGACCAGTTGGACCGACTGGCCTGTTGGGCCAATGGACCGGTTGGAACCAATGTCCTGTTGGTCCAATGGACCGGTTGGAATGAGTGGCTTGTTGGTCCAATGGTCCAGTTGGACCTACTGTTCTAAGGTCCGATGGACCGGTTGGACCGACATGCTTGTTGGTCCAATCGAACGGTTGGATCGACTGGCCTTTTGGTCCAATGGACTGGTTGGACCGATTGGCAAGTAGGTCCAATGGACCGGATGGACCGACTGGCCGGTTGGTCTAATGGACCGGTTGGACCAATTGGGGTGTTGGTCCAATGGACCGGCTTGTCCGACTGGCCTGTTGGTCCAATGGACCGGTTGGACCGACTTGCTGTTAGTCCAATGGACCAGTTAGACCGACAGGCCTGTTGGTCTAACGGACCAGTTGGACCAACTTGCTTGTTGGTCCATTTTTTCCCTTCCGTTTTTTTGTCTCGTTTCTGCCCCATCTCCCATCTCCCTCCCCCTCCCTCTTCCCCCCACCCTCATTCCCCTCTGCAGCATCATCAGTCTCTTCCGCTTATCCCCTCCGCCCATCATAGCTCACACAACCATTTCGTAAAGCGAGTCTATGTGACTGACATCAGAGGCAAGGAGAAGAGGGAGCATGTATGGGCTGGGCGGAAGGGCAAGATGGTGAGTGGTGAACGGAACGGATGCTGTTCGTTCATGTCCCTGCACGGCCCCAAGGGCTTGTTCTTGCCCTGGATTATCCACTCGCCACAAGCCACTATCTGATATGTTGCGGGCAAAGGGTATGAAGCACTAGGTAGAATGAAGGGGAAGGGGCATGAGATGAGGCCCCTCTCAGCCGTACGGCCTTTACACCCTTTGATCAGGTGCATGCTAGGCTGGCCGAGGGGCATGGTGCATTAGTGATGAAGCATGAAAGGTGTGGTACACGGCATGGGGTGTCAACTGTGAGGCCTGAAGCTGCTGCTTCTCATTCCACTCACTCCCCTTCTGTTTATGGGTCCACGACGACGGGAAAATTCTGGCGGGTTTAGGGTTTAGGGTTTAGGGTTTATGGGTCCACCCGCCAAAATTCTGGCGGGTCGACGACGACGTCTTCTTTCTCCTAGATCCCTCTCTACCATCTCCCAACATAGCTCGTTCCATCTCTACTAGCTCCACCCACATTTCAAGCCTGTTTCTCTCCCATAAAAATAATTTTGTGGTTTCCTTGCTCTAAAGTTGGTGGAGCAACGAACCACTTCTGACACTATGAACCGTACCGTTCCCCTCTTCTCCACCTTTTGGACCTATTCCCCTCCTACGTCGCTGGTTGCGGAGTTCCTATCTGACGATCGCCTTCTCTTGCTCATGTTGCGCTCACTTATGCGCGAATCCTTTTATTATGCGCTTGTCTCCAAGCGATGGTAGGCCATAGCGCGCCGCTCGCTCGCGCACCTCCAGATCAAGCGCAGGATCCAGTTCTTCGTTCTCCTAGACACGATTCACAGCTTCCCCTCGCTCACGCACCTCGAGCTTCATTATTGTTGCGTTATGAATCCGAACGGCGATGCTCTCTTCCAATGCCTGGGCACCACGTGTCCGCGTTTGACACATTTGACTGTGCACTTCCTGTCAGAATGTTATCTTATGCTCTAGCCTGTAGTGGGGTGCTCTATAGCGAGTACAACCCTTCTAGGGTTTCCTATTTGTATCCCCATTCTTGCTAGTGCAGTCCTCTTCTTTCTTCTAGACTTTCACACTTCCAGGTTCTCATGCACATCAGTAGCAACGGCCTCTCTCTTCTATGGCTGTCGTAAGCTCCGCGACCTCCGCCTGCTCACCCTCAACCACCTCACGCACCTCCCGCCCACGTCTCTCACCCCTCCAACCTCACAACCCTCCATCTCTGCCGCCACACTGGCGACGATCACTGTGAGCTTCTCCTCTTGCCAACCGAAAGCATCGGCGCACTTCCGCAAGTACGGGAAATTTGCTCAAACACATGATCGCCGCTCAAAGGTCTCCCGGATTCCGTCAGCAGCCCCCGCGAACCACATTTGCAAACCCTAGAAATTTTGATGGGTGTGCAGCTCATCCAGGATTCCTTTCAGAATATCACCAGCCTTCGTTCCTTCTCGCTGCAGTCCCAGCATGTGAAGCGCCTGACAGAGCATGTGATAGGGGCGATGACGAGATTGGAGAAGCTTTTACTTCGCTGGGTGTCCATTCAGAGCCTGCCGGACACCATGTGCTCCTTCCCCCTCTCCTCCCTCTCCATCCAATCATGCGCTGCACTCACCTCTCTTCCCGATAATCTTGGATCCCTCGTACAACTTGAAACCCTAGTGCTTGAAAGGCTGCCCAACCTCCGTGCTCTGCCCGAGAGTGTGGGCAATTTACACCGATTGTGGTCGTTAGGAATCGAGCAGCAGGTTTTGCTGGAGCTGCCCGAAAGCCTGTGCACGTGGAGTGTGAGGCACAGCCTGGCGCTGCTTTTCCTGCGCTCCTGCAGCGAACTGAGGCGGCTGCCTCCCCAGCTGGCCATGCTGACGCGCCTGGAAGAGCTCGAAATCACCGGCTGCCCTCTCCTCGATTCGCTAGAGCCTCTGTTTGCTCCGAATCCCCCATACGCCTTGACCTTCTCCCTTGCTTCTGCTCTCTCCGTTGATTCTACCCCTTCTCCTTACGCCTCACCGTCCTCTTGAGCCTACTCCTGCTTCTGCCACGGTCGCTCCTAAAGCCACTGCTGCTGGTCCTACCACTTCTTGCACTCATATCAATAAGTCCACCGAGCCACAAGTACAGCCACAGGCACAGCCACAGCCACAGGCACAGGCACAGGCATAGCCATAGCCACAGCCACAGGCACAGGCACAGCCACAGCCATAGCCACAGCAAGGCAAGGAGCAGCACAATGCACAGCAGCCTTGGGGCCTAGCGTCTCTCACCAGCCTGTCTCTGCATAATTGTTCACAAATCTCCTCCCTCCCTAATTCTTTCTCCATGCTCTCTGCCCTCTCTTCCCTCACCCTCACCCACATGCGTGGCCTCTCCAGCTTGCTTGAATCCCTCGGACGGCTGGAAAATATCAGTTTGTTGAAGCTCGAACACCTGGAAAAGTTATTTGTGCTGCCCGAGTCACTCGGGCAACTGAAAAACCTTGAAACGCTGGAGCTGTGCTATTTGCCGGAGCTGAACTGTCTGCCCAAGTCACTCCGTTGGTTGCCCAAGCTGAAAGAGCTTTTGCTGGTCGACGCGGGGAGGGTGACAGAGTGGTGGTGGATTGACTACCTCCCATCTATTAGGTCCGCCAAAATGCGCCTCATGCTCCACTAAACTGAAGGCTCTCCCATGCAGACCCTGTCTTTCGTTGTATGGCGCTTGCCGAAATTTTGCTTCATGGTCTGACCTGAGTACTCGAGAGGTGGCTGGTGTATTGATTAACCGTCATCCAACGAAACATGCCTGCTGATTGTACGGTATCCAAGTTGTCAAAATATAAACCTGTTTACTAGGCTTTAGTGGGACACACAATATGGGGTACACAGACGTTAGGGTTTGTACTTGTACCCCTTACTTGCTAGTGCACATCATTTCGCTATTCACACTTCTTGACATGCTATCAGTGGCTAGATAAGGTCCGTAAGTACCGCTCGTTACCTGTGCCTGTCCGACGCGCTGTTGCCCCTCGTGCACTTTGCCCGTACGCTGCCCACGCGCGCCGCGTCTGCTCGAACTCTGCCCCGTGCGCCGCGCCTGCCCGCGCGTGCTGCCTTGCCCGTACCCTGCCCTGAGCGTGCTGCCCTGCTCGTGCGCTGCCTCGCGCGCCGCGCCTGCCCTTACGTTGCCTTGCGCGTAGCGCCTGCCCGCACGCTGCCTCGCGCCGTCGCGCTGCCCTTCCCCGTGCCGTCACACTGCCCTGCCCCGCGTGTCCTCGCTGACCTGTCCCGCGCCCTTGCGCTGCCACCGTTGACAGCCGCCACTGCAGCTGCCACTTCAGTAGCTGCTGCCTCTGCCGCTGCTCCTGCTACAGATCCACAAGTGCCGCAGCCGTGCCGCCCGCCGCTGCCACTCCAGCTGTTATAGCCGCCACTTCAGCCACCACTGCAGCCACTGCTCCAGCCATTGCTGCAGCTACCAAAACTGCCGCTACAGCAACTGCAGCCGTAGCCTCTGCCTGTGCACTGCTACTGCCCGTGCACTGCTACCACCCAGGCACCACACCGTATCCGATGCCGCCCGTGCTTTGTACCGCTGCTGCTGCTGCCCTTACGCCGCTACTCCTCGTGCGCTGTGCTGCCGCTACTACCGTCCGTGCGCTATACCGCCTCTGCTGCTTGTGTGCCGCTGCTGCACCGGACCATACTACTGCTCACCTTCTGTCGGACTGTATCCTGATCCGCCGTCTGTGCCTAGATCTGCAGCTTGACCTAGTTCCTGTCATGGCCACTATCACTGTTTTAGCGGTTGACGCAGACAGGCGCCCTTTCGAGTTAGAGTCGTGGCTCGAGCGTGTGCGCCTGTATCTCCAGCGCTTCACTAAAGATGGCGTCTCCCTTATCGAGCACACGTCGGGGTCGTTCTGACGCCCATCACTCCCACCGAGCCTGCTGCTGATGCTGGCGATGACGTGCAGTGGCGGTACCGGACAGACCACGTTGCGTGCACACAGTGGACGGAGCGCGACGCTGTCGCCCAGCTTGCTTTCAACGCTCATCTGCTGTTCAACCAGAGGGCCTACTTTTGCCAGGTGTCGTCAGCCCAGACTTTCTACAATGCTGTGGTTATGCACTACTCCTCCCTCTCTCCTGCCACCCAGCCGCAGCACCGGCGGCGTCCGTTGTTCTAGGAGTGGCAGCACCTGGTCGAGGAGGCATTTGTAGGTGCCTGTGAGTCTGCTCGCACAGGTGGTGCAACTGGTGGAGGCGGAGGTTCTAGGGGTGGGCAGTAGCGGCCGCAGCGTTTGCAGGAGACCCTCTTGCCGCAGCAGCTTCGTAAGTGGGTTTCCCAGCGAGGCGTCCGTGGAAGTGTAGAGGCTGTTATTGTAGATGGTTGTGAGTCCGCTAGCACAAATGGAGTTCCTGCGGAGGCTCTACACACCTTCATACTGGACTCAGGCGCGTCCCGCTGCTTCTTCCCCAACTGCACCACAGTGACACCACTCAGAGCACCTGTCCCTATCATCCTGGCCGGCCCCTCATCAGGCCCAGTCGTTACACGCGGCTCCAATGTACTCCCGTGCCCGGCGCCCGCCTCTGGGTTGCTCATAGGTCTCCACCTCCCATCGTTCGCTATGAACTTGGTGAGTACGGCTGTCCTCCAGGATCGGTTGGTCACAGCCACTACTCTTGGGGCGAGCTCGTGGAACGGACTCAGTAACTGGTGAACACCTTGCCACGTTCACTTGGAGTCATGGGTCTGGCCTGTACACACTTCACACTGAGTCTGCACAGGTGGCCGCATCTGGTCACGTAGCTGCGTCTTGCTCGTGCTAGGTTCTCACGCACCCGTCGCACCTTTGGCACCACCGTCTTGGTCACCCCTCCCTCGCATGCTCTCGTGTCTCCTTGTCTCAGGCCTCCCCTGCTCCCACTCCCACGATCGCTTGTGCCGCCGTGCACTCCCTACGACGAGAGGCGGTAGCGTGCCACTCCTCACTCCCCCTCGTTCCCTCCGACCACTGCTCCTCTGCAGACGCCGCACATGGACGTGTGGGGCCCCACCCCCGTCCTTGGGCCGCACCAGGAGCGCTACTTCTTGCTGGTCGTCAACGACTATATGCGCTACACCACGGCGTTTCCCTTAGATCCGCACTGTTCGTCGCTAGCTGAGCGCATGGTTCTGCCAGGAGACTGAGAAGGTGACAAAGCGCAGACGGCTGTGGCTGAGTGGTCGCACCCCCAGAACCTCCAGCTCCTGTAGCAACAGCACCCCCAAAACCAGTACCTCCAGCTCCACCCATAGGACCGCCCCAACTGATAGCCTACTTGCGAAGCTGCAACGGCGAGAGCAACTCCTGCCGACTAGCACCACTAAATCAGTACCTCCGGTGTTACCTCCAGTGTCGGCACAGCCAGTACCCCCAGCAGCACCTGTGCCTCCAGTACCAGTACCTCCAGCACGGCCAACTCCAGAAACACCAGCACTAGCACCTCCAGGGCCAGCACCTCCAATACCTGCAGCAGCACCTCCAGTACCTGCAGCAGCACCTATGCCTCCAATACCTCCAGCCGCACCTATGCCTCCAATACCAGTACCTCCAGCATAGCCAGCTCTAGGAACACCAGCATTAGCACCTCTAGGGCCAGCACCTTCAGGACCTGCAGCTCCAGCACGTCCAACGCCACCACCAGGACTGCCCCAACGGACAGCCCACTCGCGAAGCCGCTCCGACGAGAGAGTCTCCTGCCGACGTGCACCAGTGCCACCAGCACTAGCTGTTGGTGTAAGGGCCTAATAAACTCAAGCTATTAAGACTTTATCACACTTAAAACCTCTCCTCGGGGTCACCTCCAAGGGTCCTTGGGTGCCTGGTACAAGACCAGCCCCTATCCTCGGGTCCGAGTTTGTAGAGAGAGGGATCAAGAGGGACTTAGTCAAAACAGCAAGAGTACCTTGAGCGTCGCGCAGCGTATCGTGCAGACCGTCGACCGGATTAAGCTGAGAATTTGCTATATCGAAGCTCACTCTAAGAGCTTTAAAATAAGCCAAGTTGCCTCGCGAAAAGTTCTGCCATTACGAAGTTATGGCTCGGACAGCGTTAGCCTAGCGTTGGAGTGCTAGCATACTAGCGTTGACTCGGGTAGCATTCCGCCGTCGCATCGCGTAGAAAACGAAATTCCAGCAAGGAAGGAATTCGCTTGAATCAATTTCACTATATTCAGGTACAAACAGAGAAGGAATAAATAGCTCTAGCTAGCAAGGACCTTGGGAATCAACCTGGGAACAACCAGGGATGATCCCAAATAATTCCAAGCAACAGAACCAACCTGGCTGAACAAAATAGCAGGTGATAGGTTGGTGAACAACCTCTGGTTCTGTTTTTCCAACCTGGGAAAACAACAACCAGGTTCAGGTCCTAAAAACAGAACCTGTTTTGTCTTTGCCCAACCAGCCAAATGCTGGTTCCGCTGGTTTCCCCTGGCCCTGTAGCATGCAGATACAGACAAACAACATCCAACCTTCACCTAAATTGTACCCCTATAGTGCCTGCCCTGCTACACTATAGTCAACCAAACAAAACAGTACAATTTCGAGTTGGATAGAACTGAATCTGCGCAATCAAGTAAGTTGAATCGCAAAGCTTCCATCCTGGGTTCCTTTGCGAGCTCGTCCTTTCTGCTTGTACTGTTCATAGCGCGTACAATGTTATGCCGAAGCGCACATTTTGCGAGTACCTGCAAATGCTTCAAGCGAAAATTGCGAAAGCAAACAAACACACAAACATACCATTCACACCCAAATGCATTCGCACACGCATACTCGTACAGACGGCAGGATGTCGTGCAATGTGAATTTGCACCCAACACACTCCCCCTCAGCCTGCCGGCTGCATCCCCATCATTCCATACTAGTTCATGCTCATTCCACTCATGCGCACACAACGCCAATGAGACTCATCCGCAAGCCTCTTGGTGAGGAAGTCTGCTGGCTGCTGGTGAGTCTTGATGTAGATCGGATTCACCGTCCCCCTCTTTACCTCCTT